GTTTAGGGTTTAGGGTTCTAGGTTTCCGGCTCGAGGCTTGGGACTCTAAACATGGAGCGTTCCGAGGTGTGGGGCCGGGGTACTCGACAGGCTGCGGGGTTGCTGTCCGTGGCTGTAGAGTAGAGGTGTCTCGGTTATCCGGTGCAGGATTTAGGGTTTACCTGGACCCCGAAGATCCTGCCTTAAGTTTAGGGTTCCTGATTATGATTTCTTGATAGAAGTCCTTAAACAAGGTAGGTTCTTCAAGGTTTCGGTAGGGTCTAGGGAGTCCGGGTGTGCGGGTCTCGACATATTTCGAGTGCGGTGCTGAATCCTACGCCATGGAGACTTTAGTATACCTCTATATACTAGCCGTACTAGCCCTGAAGCCAAAACGCGTTACACACAACCCTAAAGCAACCCTGAACCCTGAACACTCCGTACACTGTACACCTTGAACCCTTTTTGAACCCTTTACAGTAATCCTTAAAGGAACCCTTGAAAGAACCCTTTAAAAAGAACCTGGACCCACGACAGCACCCCCCAAAAGCAGTGCTCCCGAGCCTGCCCCAGCAAGGCTGCTTGATGAAGCGGCGTATAGCCGCGCCGGTCCTCCAGGCTTTGGGGTTTAGGGTTCCGGGTTCTTTCAGGGTTTTGGGGTTGCTTAGGGGTTTTGGGGTTTAGGGTTCCGGGTTCTTCAGGGTTTGGGGGTTGTTTAGGGGTTTTGGGGTTCTTGGGGGTTTTTGGCGTGTGCAGTTTAAGGTTAGCTGACTTTCGAGTTTAGGGCTTAGCGTCTGGGTTCAGGCCGTGCCGTGCCTGTCCTGCAGGGAAAAGGCCTCACGGTTGCTAGAATAAGGGTGTATGAAATATTTCCTTTACCGTCTACCCAAAAGGTATCTTATTCATAACTCAAGCTTAAGAATTGCGATGCTGGGGTGACCCACGACCCTATAAATTTAAACCCCGAACCCTCAACTCGGTATCCCAGGCTATAGACCCAAGGTCGGCTGTCTTGCGAGAAAATCGCGTTGAGACACCACAAAACTGCCAAGCACTCAGGCTTCAAACTATGAGGTTTTTTGTTTAGGGTTTACCCAAAGGCCCCATAGTAGTTCCTTTTTGGGGTTCATATATATAGAATCCTATAAGGTAATCCCAAAAAGGAACTACTATGGGGCCTATGAGTAGGGTTTGCACCACCCCGGTGGCGAGTGGAGTAAGGGCGGGCATTCCGTCTGAGTTTCCTGAAAAACCCTTCGACATGTTCAACACCATCCCAACACAACATCCGCCCTACCGAGTATAACCTAGAAAGACATTTTGCTAACTTAAACAAGAATACAATAGCCCTGAAGCAGCAACGCTTTTTCCAAGCCCAGCATCCTTGCTCGTCAAGAAGCCGAGCTTTGTGGCCACGTTGTTCAGCAATGCCCGACAAACCTGAACCTGGGGGCTGTTCTGAGGAGTGAGGGTTTCTAGTTCTTCGGGGTCAGAAAACAACAAAAAAACCTTAAATCATAAACCTTAAGCCCTCCCAGGAATCCGCAAGTACCCGTTAAGAGAAGACCGCATGGTCCTTAATAGTGTGTATGTAGGGTATGTTAGAGGGAAGTTGGGGCGTCTAGGTCAACCCTAAACCCTACATCCCAAACCCCCACCCCCGGGCCCCCGAGCCTGCCCGTGCTTCGCAGCCAAGTGAAGCGGCGAACTTTGAGAACTCCTCCCCTCGCCGCTGGATGTACTTGCGATGCAGTTCTCCACCTAGGGGGCTTTAAGGGCTTAGCTCTTCAAAGGGTTGCTAGAAGGTTTCTGTGATGTAAGGGCCCTAAGAAGTGGAACAGGGGGCTCAGGCTCTATTATGGAACTTTGAGGAAGAATATAGTTAGCGAGTTGGGGTATATTTTGGAAGAGAAAGAACAGGAACCTCAAGGAATGATCTTGGCAAAAAATCAGGCTTCTATGTTGGTGTTTTGGGGCCTGTGGCTTTAGGCATGTGGTTTCAGGGTTTAGGACGCTTATCGTTGCCACTACGATTGCAATCGGTATCGTGCGGTGCTTTCACTATTGTGAATATACTCTGTTGTGGCAATTTCTGGCAGTACCGCTGTGCCACAGGCTTAGGAGAAGTGCTACTAGTAGTAGCAGTGGTAGTAGTAGCAGCAGCAGCAGCAGCAGCAGCAGTAGCAGGAGTGGCAGTAGCAGTAGCAGTAGCAGTAGCAGTAGCAGTAGCAGTAGCAGTAGCAGCAGCAGGAGCAATATCAGCAGCAGTACCAGTAGCAGCAGTAGTAGCTGTAGAGGCAGCAGCGTCAGTAGCATCGGTATGATTAGTAGCAGCAGTAATGGCCCTAGTAGCTGTAGAAAGCAGCAGCAGCAGCAGGAGTAGTAGTAGTAGTAGTAGTAGTAGTAGTAGTAGTAATAGCAGTAGAAGCTCTAGTAGATGTAGAAAGCAGCGGCAATGGCAGCAAGCAGGGGCCCTACGGAAAAGAACCCTGTTCTTGACAACCGCCCACCTGAACATCCACGGACAGATTCCGGCCGAAGCAGATGTCGGGCCTTTCCCAGAGAATTGTCTGCATCCAGAGTCCCAGGAGCCTCCAAAGCAAGAGCCAACCAACGGATCGGTGAGTGAAGGTGAGGCACATCTCGGTGGCGATGTCGAAGTTGCGCACATAGGTCTTTCGGGCCTCTTCGACACCAATAGCATCACTGGAGGCCAAGGTAATGCTCTTCATGTAGTCTCGGAAGGCTATGAAACAAAGATCGTTCCGCTCATCGTTCTTGCAGCCAAGGGCCATGCCAATAAATGCAACAATAAATCTTGCAAACGAGTGCAGCGTCTCTTGCTGGCGCATGCGCCTCAGTTTCAATACAGAAGCCTCTTGCAGCCGACATCGTGCTCCATGCAAGTACTTCCTGACGCACTTCTGGTAGCCATCCTCAAGAACCTTGGGCAGCCCACTACCGCGACAAGAATAGGGTTTTGCGAGTTTATTCTAGGAGTCTGCAAAGGGATTGATTAATTCATCAGACCTTGATGACCACCCCTCAAAACACTTTCATCAACAACAGAGCAGCTACTGATTTAGGGGCCTCAATAATTACTACTACTATTTTGGGGGCTCCTTATAGTAATTATAGTATAATGGGCCCCCAAACCCTATTCTAATTATTAAGGCCCCTATATTCCAATTACTAAGGCCTAGATTACCTACGCTTCATCGCACAAAGACATCAACCCGGCGAAACTTCTGACATGAAGCTTTCTTTCTGCCGTGGACTGTAGTCACTGTACCCATAGGCCCCATAGTAGTTCCTTTTTGGGATTACCTTGTAGGATTCTATATATGAACCCCAAAAAGGAACTACTTTAGGGCCTATGGGTAGTGTCTGTTTCTGCCTTTCGAACATGTCAAGAAGACTAGGTGCACGAAGAGCTTGAGTGAGAGACTTCCTCGATGATGCGCATTTTCAGGCTTTCATAGTATAATCGTTAGACTACCTCTATTCAGCGTTTGTTCGCCCAATTCTTGCGGGGTGCGGCTTTCTGAGCTTCACTTTGTCTTCGCAAGTATCGGAAAAAACCCTCAACCCTAAACTCTAAACCCAAGCCCTAAACCCTAAACCCTAAAAGCCTATCAGCCCTGAGCCCTCAGCCCGGGATAGTGGCTCTGAGAGAAAATCCGTCCGGCAAAGCCGCAGAAAGCTCCGGGCAGTCGGCTGGAAGACCTCTCCGCAGAATCCTTGGTTGCTGTTAAGGAACTGAACTTAAGTTGCCATATTGGGGATTTTCGATAAATTCTTAGGGTGTCCTTACTCTGGCAACTGAGTACCATTAAAAGGCCCTAAGCCCTTATAGGAACCCTCAAAGGAACCCCATACTGTGGTAACTTAACTTAAGTTCCTTAGCTGCAACCCAGAATCGGCATGGCGCTGTACCACAGGAGGGGTCTTGAAGCCAGCAGATCCGAGACTGGTTTCAAGTACTCCTCCACGGCAGAGGGGGTGGGTTTAGGGTTTGGGCTTTGGGTTTAGGGTCAGAGTACCTATAAGTCTCCAGTGTCGTTCCTTGTTGGGGTTACCTTATAGGATCCTAAACATAGAGCTGGTTTAACAACCCTAAACCCTCAACCGCAGTGGAGACTATATGCAGCTTCGGAGGATGAGTGCCACAAGCGGCGAATCCCCCAACATGTGCCTCGGGAAAGTCCCATGTTGTCCTAACCTAGGATCCCCAGTATCCTAGGAAAAAAAGCCTCCTTCTGTGGGTATAGGGGTAGTTTTATAAGGCACCTAAGACTACAAAAAAGGCTCCTTCTTTGGGAATAGGGGTAGTTTTGTAAAGAACCTAAGACTACAAAAAAGGCTCCTTCTCTGGGCATAGGGTAGTTTTATAGAGAACCTAAGACTACGAAACAAGAGAAAAAAGGGCGCAGTGCGAGACCCGGCAACTGAATTCTCCTAACCTAGCTGGGGGTTTCCGAATATAGGGGGCCCTAATCTAGTACCCTAAATAATAGGATCCTTAATATAAGGACCCCAAAATAAGGTACCCCTAATTTTCGGAAACTCCCAGCTGTGAAAACCATGTCCAGGAAGCGATACGCACAGTCCCAGACCCTCAAGACCCGTAACAACAAGGCCCCTGCAATCACCGAATCCCTATAGACCCTGTATCTACCCATAGGCCGTAAAGTAGTTCCTTTTTGGGGTTTCATATATTATAGAATCCTATAAGGTAATCCCAAAAGGGAACTACTATGGGGCCTATGGGTAGTCTAGCCTGTCTCAACACCTCTCCCTGAACTCTTCTGGTACCCCTACAGGACCCTTAGAGGGGAACCTGCAAGGAACCGCTTAAACCTCTCCTGAACCTCCGGAGCACCGGCAGCATGGGCCGCACAGAGCAGCAGGAGAAATGCATTGAGCTCGTCATTTTGGAACTCTCTGTGCACATCCTGCTGCGTGTCATCCTCAATGGCTGCGCCTGGGAGTCAGACTTGTTGAAAGTCAGCACCACTGCATTCCTACACCCTAAACCCTAAGTGGACTCGAAAACCGAACGCTAGCGACAGATATATTCGGATGGAGATCCATGGTCTACCTGGACCCTCTAGGGCCAATACTTTTCAGGGACAAATAAAGGGTTTAGGGTTTAGGGTTTAGGGTTTAGGGTTTAGGGTTTAGGGTTTAGGGTTTAGAGGATAAGAAACCCTTAACAACTTGGATCTTTCGGGTTCAGGTAAGTCTAGGGCAAGGGGACTCGCGTGCGAAGTTGAAAAAAGTCAGTTGTGTTTGCTTTAAACATATTACAAAGGAAAAAATATTTTTCCCCTATAGTATGCCCTAAACCCTAAACCCTAAACCCTAAACCGTCAGTTGTGTTTGCTTTTCTTTCCGAAGCAGACGCACATTCGAGCTGATGAACTGTAGTCCCAAGTCGCCCCTGCTGAAAGCTATGCGGCTCTATACGGTATGCTGCAACATACTTGCGTTCAGACCGTCCCTAAACCCTAAAACCTAAAGGCCCTAAACCGTAACCCCAAAGCCTAAACCCCAAACCTATGACTACGCAGACTTCTGTAGTGGATCGGCTCAGCGGATCCCGAATTAGAATAGGGTGTTGGGGCCCATTCTACCACAAGTATAATAAGGAACCCCCAAAATGGGCCCTCCTGAACTCCAAACTCTAGTGATCTGGAGATCTGCTCGGGGTTTCGGGTGTAGGGTTTAGTTTA